CGTCCCTCCTCGTATCAACATATCAGGCTGGTGGTGCTGAGGATATTTTCTCTGTACAGTTTTTGCCCCTTTTGTACCAGCTGCGTATCATTTAAACACTGAGCATTGTGGCTGACCATGTCCGCATGACCGCAGTGTACCCATCATGTCACAAAGCTCAGATCATTTCAAACTGCTTTCTTGAACACATCAATGAGTCACCAGATCTCAGTCCAACAGAATACTTTTGGGTTGTGGTGAAACAGGAGATTCACATCGTGTAGTACGTGCACTTACCTGCACACCAACACATGGGCGCAAGGGAGACGCCTTGGAAATTTGCACATTCTGACTCTTAGGATCATTTCTACAAGCGTTCACGTGTGCAGGAGATGTGTGAGAAAAGGTTTAAGAAGCACGCTAAACTTACACATATTGTGCTAGTGTTCAGTGATAACAATGTCGTAACATCTGAGTCTAAAGTTGTGCTTTGGTGCTATGAAAAAAATGCGAGTAACTGTAATTTTAGTGGAGAAAGTTTGACAGGACGGCTCTGTTTGACTGCTCACTTGTATGGTGTTACAGACAGCCTCACATTTGAAATGCTATATTCTAATGGTAGTGCACTGTCGCTTGACAGTAAAAAGCCATTAACTACTGCTATTAGTCATGCATGCTTTTGCAAATAAATAAACAAAAAAATAAGTTGTTACATGTAGTATACATAAAAATGCAATGCTATCTGTGTGTTATGAGCATTCCATGAGCCTCATTAATGCTGCTTCGAAGTGAAAGTGCGCGGTATATATTTGGCTTCTTAATTAATATAATTATAATATAATTATCCTGTACTTTGTGGGGCTGCGGGAATAAACCTTTATCGGTTGGCTTTCTCTTTGCATGACAAACACTCACACCTGCACAGGTTGGACCCGGTCTCATCCAGACAAGGTCATTGTTGTTGACGCAGGAGTGTCTGAAGAGTCGTGTTGGATGTCCTTAAAGGAGTAGAAACCACAGGTCTGCAAGAAGAGCTCAATCAGAGCTGCCTACCACTAATCTCCTCTGTCAAGGCAACATTAAAGTTGCAGTGGAATGAGGAGAGCTCATGTGCCACCCAGCTCCGGCTGATTGAGGAAAGCCAAGCCCTTGACAGACACTTAATTTAGAGCCTAGTTTTAACATGAAATGATCCAGAGCTCTGATGAAATGGTGGAAATTTATAATATGTCTTTAACGTTGTATGTGTGCAGTCATTCGCTTGGAAATTAAAGCTCTGTGTATCTTATCATCTTAAGAGCACCAAAAGGACAGCCTTTTTCTTCTCTTTTCGCTTTTTTACTAGGGGATAAAGGAGAGTGCCGCAGCAGGGCGACCTGTAAATCGCTCAAACAGTGCAAGTTATTGGCAAATCTTTTGTCAAAAGGAGTTGTTGCTTGGGGATGTAGGGAGAAAAGAAAGGCCTGACAAGCAGATAAACATTTGTTGCACATCTAAGCCGGGACATCAGAGGAGTCGATTCTTTCAGCCAGAGTGGAGGGCCACGCATGTCAGGATCAGCTAGATTAAAGAGGTCTCCAAAGTGAGTATTAATCGCTGCTCTTTATTGTTTATATTGATAGAAGCTAATGTGATTTGGCTAAAAATAATATAATAAAAAAGAGGGATGAGGGCAGTAATGGATCAGTCCTTAACTCCTAAAACACTTCAATAATAAGCTTGAGGATAGACAGAGAGACGGAAGAGATATTAGAGCTGCACAAAGTAGAGGTGATCTTTTTGCCAGCATATGGGTGCACAATTGGGTCAGGAGATAAGCAAGCCCCGTGGATGTGGACAGATGCAATCCATCTCTCGCTGCGTTGATGTCCTCCCCATCTTGTCTCTCTCGCAGGCAGGCAGGGACCAGACCATGACTGTGGAAAAACGGTCGTGCTTTAGGATGCAGAGAACGGTGAGGATGATGCCTGGATGCTAGCGAGGTTTCCCTGCTTTCCTGACATCTGTTTCATGAGATATCAATAGGGAGGAATGTGATTTTGCTGAGAGGGTTGAGGCGAGTCCAATCAAAAAGATATCCACTGCAGCTCGCTGAGGTGCGCTGGAAAGTCATCATATTTTAGCTTTAAAGGCAAAAGGTCACATTTTAAAGTGGATATAATTCAAAAGTTAGACATTTCTAACCACCGGTAGGCAATGATGCACATGTATGCAAATTTGCACTTTTCTGTGTGCATGTCAGTGTGTGGATTTGTCACGTAAAAATGATGGCTGCACTGTAAACTTTGTGCAGGTCAGCGATTCTGTGGTAATGATGAGCAAGGCGTCTGTCCTTTGTCCTGCTGCCTGGAAATCACATTAGATTAGACTGTCAAGCAGGGCGGAAGGTGTAGCGGTGGGTGGGGTGGGTGTATGCCGTGCTTTTTTAGAAGGGACGTGGTGGGATTTTCACAAAGCACATCAGTCACGCCACTCGCATCTAGCTCTGATCTGGGAGTAAAATCATCTCAGTGTGAGAGCTGCATTATAATAAATGTCAATATGAAGTGCAGGAGTGAGTGTCATCTGTATATTATCCACTCGCCAGCCTGTATTGCTCCACAGGGGAAGAGCGGCCCTATTCTCTGCAACGCAGAGTCTAATCATTTCATAGCTGGGTAATTAATTTTCAGTTTTCGCCTTTGCTTTATTTATTACTTCCATATTCCTGATTATGGATTTTGTTTCCTGTGAGGACTTTCTATTAGCTGATATACAGACATGGTGAAAATCAAAGATTCACTCAGTTTGTATTACTTGTATTATTCCAGTTTGTAAATAAATTAGTATGAGCCGATGTATTCAGACTGCTTGTTCCCGAGCTTTCTGTTAGGTGCCTGCTGTGCCAACTATTTTGTTACAGTTAATAGATTTAAGAAGCTTGAAATGTTAAAGAAGAAAAAAAAGAAGAAGAGAAAAAAACAGCGCGTGAAGTGAATCATTTTCCTTTCTTTCTTTTTAATCGATCATGTATGAATCAGCTACATGTACAGATTATGACAGAATTCAACAACAAGTACAATCTTTATTTGCCACACACACAGTCATGCAGAGTACAACATGTAATGAAATGCTTGTGTCCAAACTGTGGACAGGCTGCAGACGTATCCACCCATTCCAGGGCCTGGTTTTAGCATGGTGGGGTCTAGCCAGGACCCTTACTGGATACAGGGTGGGAATGGAACTTGCGACTCTCGCTCCAACATGTAGTCTTCCAGCAGCCATGGATATTAGCCGTGAAAATTTCATTTTAAAAAAGCATTTCCCAAGTCCTGTTAAACAAAGCAAGGAATTTTTTAACACAGTTTTATTTTGAATACTGACATTATGTTACAGTAGTCTGCAAACAGAAACAAAAATTTCACAGGGTCAAAATGCAAAAAGTCAGTTTTTCTCCTTTTAGCTGGACAACAGCTTGCAGTCATTTATTGTAGTTTCCATAAATGTCTCCTGAACAATCTCAGGCTGTTCCTCTCGGTCACCCCACAGATTTGCTTCGCTACCGTCAATAAGACCAGTGTTCACTTGGTTTCCTGAAGCTTATTCTTCATCCTCAGCGACGTATGTTTAGGTCATAGTTGTGTTGAAAGACAAAACGATGAACAACGCCCAGTTTGCTGCTGACTGCTTGAAGTTCTTCTTTTAACATCTTCACTAATTCTTTTCCCTTCCAGCTTTACGAGATTCCCTGTACCAAACTCACTGAAGCATCCCACAGCATGATACACCCACCGCCATGTCTCACTGTGGGGAAACAGCTCTAGTTTCATCTCATGACCAAAGGATGTGCTTTCAGTCACTCTTTGTTCACTTGTCTTTAAAATGCTTCTGCAGAAGTGGAGTCCCAGCTCAAGTAATGACTGGAACCATTGCTGAAGTTTATATTATATATATATATATATATATATTATATTTATATATATATATATATTAAATTAAAAAAGTAAAGGAAATTTTGACAGAACTTTACATTTCTAATAGTAATTTTGTCCTCATCTGCATGTTTCAAGCAGGGTGCTGACTCGCAAGGTGAGTCAATTTCTCCTGCAAGCTAATCAATATGCAGATTACAGATGAACTAGATAAGGAAAAATGTGCTATTTTCTACTGTTCAAAGTAACACATTGGCAGCAACTTGATTTTATTGGTGTATCTCTCTGGTGATCTGATTGGAGGCTCATGGGACTGATAGGCACCTTTATCCGGATTAAAGCATCTCGACTGTACACCCATCCACCAGTTTGCTAATCCCAAGCAAATAATTCCCTATAGCCACACACGCATAGACACAATCTCACACACAAGGGTGCTGATAAAAAAACAAAAAAAAAAACATCTGTCACTTTAGTAGTCTGCTTATCTGGCCCAGCCATGGCAGTACTCTCCCAAGTGAGCACAAAGGCAGCAGTGGTGTTTTATGTTCTGCAGATGAGTTTGCTGATAGCCACACTGCTTCAGCTCCAGTGTGTTCAAACAGTGAGAGAGCCGGGAGCAGCGATAACCAGGGTCACTGTCTCTTATTGCACTTCTGTAAAACACAGACAAAGGACATACCATTGGAGGTAATTAATGGTTCGTGTGACACATGTAGCCACACAGTAACAACGTTTGGTTCAATTGGTCTGACTAAACACCACCCTCGCCGCCACCTCCACACACGCACTCCCTCTCGTGCTCTCCCTCCCACACCCACACCTTCCAAAACGGACCCCTTCAATCCACCCGGCAACCTCCTCCCCCCCTTTTCTTTCTTCTTCTCACACTTTGTGGGCTAAGCTGCATGCTCACTGTCCCGAAACGTGATGAACCATCCAGCCCTATGGGAATTTCTCCTCCCAGTTTGCTAGCGTCAGCTACATCTGTGTCTGTGTAGTTCCAACAGCAGCAGCAGCAGCAGCAGTGTGGCAATGGCAGTGACTTGGCTCAGGCATCAGACTGGCTCTCAGTGACATTCTGCTTCAACTTGACTGAGAGGCAGCACCGTTTCCACTCAGCTCAGACAAGCAGGGAAACTTCTCTCCTGCTTTTATTCTTCGGCTCTGGCTTAGATTCTTATTTAATTTATTAATGCCAGAGGAAGGATCCCTTGCAACTTTAAGGATACTTGTCTCATCTGGACAGACCAGACCGCTTTGGACAGCTGAGAATAATGTGATGCCGTACGCTGCGCCTCTTGAGCAGGGATGACCGAAATCTTCGGTACCCACCCTCCTCCTCCCACTCTCCGTCAGCTTTCTCCTGAGCCTCTGCGTTCACACTTTTCCCCAAGACCCCTCCGGCACGCAAGGGTCAAGTCAGCAGGATTTCTCATCCACACAATCTCTCTCCAACTGTGTTGTGAGCCTGTTCCTCAGCACCATACTTGAGGAGAAAGGCTTCCCAAGCAAAACAAAGGGATTAAAAATGAACTTTGCTCTCACCAGGAGACACGGTCTTCCCTTAAACAGAAGACTGTGAGATCTGATGAAAGTCAACTGTGAGTATTCCTCTTTTTCCCCCCCTTTACATCAGTGGTTTGTTTCACAGTCTCCTGAGAATCATGCCCTTTCTGATTAATGCACAAAGGCATGACCTGGATTCAAGAGGAAATAGCATCATGTGTGCACAAGTGCATGTCTGAGAGGTCTCGGCATGTTTTTTTAATGTAGCCTTTTACCTTAATGAATGCAGCAGAGCTCCCAAAAAGATGTGTACATTTATTCTTCAGGCAGACATGCTGTCCAGAAAAGCACCATACACTACATTATATGTGCATCTATTAGCCATATGTCAGTTGTTTTAAAAAGTTGCTGCTCCTAATTATTGCTAAGTCAATAAAGCCTTGACTCTTCACATATCTTAATTATTTCTCCTTAATGCTTTGGAGTTTTAATTTTAGATTCCTGAATGCTTTGATAACCTACACACATTTTTATGTAGACGCTTAATCTGTCTGTAGTTGTGCTGTTTTATTGCACAATCATATTTCTACCCCACACCATCTCCTCTCCAGCCCTCCAATCACCGTCTTTAGCCTCGTCTTAAAACATCTGATAATAGCGCATATATTTGATTTCTTCTGCACACTTCTAAAATGTTTAATTCATCTTATTTAGTTGAATTAAACAAGCAAAGAAAGAAAAAAAGGCATTTTGATTCACTTCCACAAAGCCAATCGATCTTTTCCTTCAAAAGCTAAAGCTCTTTTCTTCCTTCCCTCTCTGATTAACTGGAAATGACAAAACAGAGAAGGATTAAGCAGTGAAGCGTGATTTTAACGAGTCCTTCCTGTCCCCACAGACCTTGTGAGGTGTTACAACAAACGTTGAGAGGTGCTCGTGCTCTTGAGAAAAATCCTGGAAGCAGTTACCATGGAACAGTAATGGCAATGTTATGGACGAGTAGTCTGTTTTACCACCAGAAACATCCACATTATATTAGTAAAATTAGGATTTTATGGTGAACATTTCACGTTTTCAACTTGGGAGTTTTCATGCTCAGATGTACCATAAAGAAACCTGCATCATCCATGTAATGGTGTGCAGTCTCACATGTGTTCCTCCCTCAGCTGCTTGTTCTTCCAATATCTTTTGTTGTGCAGACAAAAGTAATATCAGCGCAGAGGAAATGGGGCGAGTTGGGAACAAACATCAGAAAACCCAGAGGCACAAACGATATTTAGCAAATTCTTCACACAAGAATTCAAATGAGCCAGATCATTATCCAAATGATGGGTCTTAATGAAATGTTGTAGTCACTCATAAAACAGTACTCACTGTTATTGTTTTATTCCCTCCAGTAGCTGCCAAATCTATGCACATCACAATATTCGCCTAACGATCGTGGTCCTCATTTCTCACGGGAGGAAAGCTGTAATTTAACTTGTGCTGGTTTGAAAAACAAAACTGTTAAGCAGCAAAACTCGTATTTTGATCTTTTCCTTTAGCTGATTTTATCCTACACAATCATCCTTTTACCGCTAATGCTTAAATATCTGTGCTTGGCAGCAGTTCTTAATGTGAATATTTTTATTTGTTCTTTCCCCGTCAGTGGCACAAACGTGATTCAAGCAATATCGTAGAGCCACCCTCCTCTTCCAGAATCGAGAGCTCTTAGCAATAGTCCAGTGAGCTGACTGCAAACCATCAGCTCTGGGCTGATTTGCACATCGCCCATCATGCAGATGCATGCCCTACAGTATGGTTGCCTCTGTTTGCTTTCCCTTGACTTGTCTCTGTGTTGCTTTCTCTTCCTTCTGATGATCACTCTCATGTCCTTTCCCTTTTACTAATGCCACACACGCGCTATTTGAGTTTGTGCTTTTCGCTGTGCTGTGCATTTGTGTTCCACCAAAGGACAATGTAAAGAAAGGTTACCTGTGACTAGGAGGCTCGGTGGGGGCAGTGTATGAGGCTGCTGCACAGGAGCCCTGATGGCGAGGTGCCAGAGGACCTGCAGGAAGCCAGCCTTCGACCAGATTTGTGCTACCTGTGCGGACTCACACTGTTAATCACTGGATCAATGACCATTACTTATGCATACCAACACAATATTTGAGAGAATGGTCTGATAGCCTTAGTATGTATAATTAATAAGGGAGACTCAGTTTCCTTGGCAAGAGCAACACGATTTCTTTGCACCACTGTTTGGAGCTGATGCACTCTTTTCTCCTCTTGTTTAAAACCATAATTTAAAAGCTTTTTGTAAGTTCAAATCAAACATTTTTCAAACCTCCCCTGTGTCACGGGGTCACAAAACTTGCCTACTCCCCAGTGTACGTCACATTTGATAACAAGCTTCATCCATAAAAAGCTCCAAAAACAGGACACAACAGACGAGATTCACTATTTATAGTGAGGCAGAGGCCATGTTTACTCCACAGTCTGAGTTCTGAGTGTACCATTAAATGCTTCCTGCTTCGATTTAGAAGCTATTAGCGGGCTTGACTTGTTCTACCACTTGAGGTCAAGCAGCAGAACAAGTCTATTCTTTGTGTGTGTGCCTGTAAGCCTAGAACACATCAGTCATCAGTGAGTCAGAAATATCTCTGTGCACCTATCATCATTAATTCATTCTTTTCTGAAAAAGGGTAATCAGATTGCTTGCATCACAAAATTGGAAAAAACTAACAGAAAAACCAAAGACAGCTAAGAAATAGTCCACGCCTGTGCGTTTTGAGAGTGTACCTGACTTATCTGGGCTCATCTGTGCTACGCCAGCAAACATGTTCACGCAAGACTGCCAAAGCTGTTATGTTTAGAGAGGGTAATATTTTCCAGGCCACATTAAATAGCCTATGACCATTGTAATAAAAAATGTATCAGATGACTATGTGGAAAGAGTGTGTGCCTCTCATAGTGATTAATAAAGATTTATTAGCTATGGGCAGCGCTGCTCAGCTTTATAGCTTCAACCAACCGTTAGGGTGTCCACTAGTAAATTTAACATTTATACTCTCACTTACCATCATTTGTGGCAAAAACACACGGCTGTTTCAGGAAGAAATGGGAAACAAATAGAAGATGTGACCATCGATTGGATATTGTTTGCAGGATTAAAAAGTAAGCCATGAGAGAAGCGTCTTAAACCCGCATTCTTCTGCAAGAAGCTAAAAGTACCCAAAACGACTTCCAGTTAGTCATGGTAAAAGTGCGCCCTCTTTCTCTCATAAGGTTTCACGGATCAGGACATAATAAAAATCATCTGGCCCTTGGCGGATGAAAATTGGGTAAATACAACCTTAGATTAACCTTTTTAGAGGAAATTTAGCTAAAATGCACAGAGACCTTATGAAAACTCAGTACAGCCTTACTGTTTCCATAGGAGTTAAGAGGGTAAGTAGCAGCCAGGTACTGCTTATTAAATACACTTGATTAACTGATCATCAGAAATTGTGAGCACCTCTATAAAAGAAGAGATTTTGGCAGTTTGCTGGTCAGATGTGTTAACAGAATTTGCAAGAAGGAAAGACGTCAGCAACAACATCAGTCTGGATATGAGTATAAGGTCATTTAGAACCAACTGGAAGTCTGTCATTCGACAGAGAGAAAGATTATTCACAAGTGAAAAACAATCAAGACAGTTGCCAACTTTCCACGAGTGGATGTCACAGCACACGCCAAGGTCAGACTGTGCAATGCTCAGAGAAATTGCAAAAAACCTCCCAAAGGCTACATCTCACACCCTACAGGCTTCAGTTAGCATGTTAAATGTTAAAGTTCCTGACAGTACAACTAGAAAAAGTCTGAAGAAGTACGGCTTGTTTACAAGGTTTGCCAAAAGAAAGCCTCTTTTCTCTAAAAAGAACATGGCAGCATGAGTTAGCATGACTTGCAAAGTTGTTTCTGAACAAACTAAGACTTCTGGCACCTTTTTCTATGCTTAAGTGTTTTCTAACATTCACACTCTTATGGATGCATCTAACTTAGGGTTAATATTTTGCTCAAGGATATTTTGCCTACAGACTGGACTGAGCAGTCAGGGAGTGAATGACCAAACGTCTGATTCCTGGGGGACCTGCTCTGCCTCCTGAATAACTGCCACCCCAAAGGGATGTGGCTCAAAGACCCCAACAGTGGAGATGTTTGGCCATAATGCAAAGTGCCACATTTGGTGAACATGAAACACAGCATATCAGCTCATAGTGTCCGAGTGGCGGAGGGTTTGAGGGGTGATGATTTGGTGTTGTTTTGCAGGGACTGGACCTGGGTACCTTGCAGTTAACTATGAACACCTGTGTATACCAAAGTATTTTAGAGACAAGTGAGAGGCCATCCAAAGCGTGCCAAAAATGAGTCAGGAGAGACCACCTACAACCAGCAAATCTCCAATAGAATGGCTGAAAAACAAAAGAATCAAGATATTGCAATGGTTAAAGTCCAGACAGTCTAGAGTTAAGCAAGGACCTTCAGAGAACTGTGCATAAACAAATGCCTCAATGAAATGAAGCATCGCTGTATAGAACAGATGGCCAAAATTCCTCCACAATGATGTGAGAGACTGTTACAGTCACACAGAACACAAAAACTCCAAGTTATTGTGGCTAAAAGTGATTCAACAAGCTATTTAATCATGGGATATAGTTCGTTTTTCATTTTTCGTTTTAGTCTTTGTTGAATAAATAATTACATGGTATAATATGTCATATGTTGTTGTTTATCTGAGGTTATATTTGCCTAATTTTAAGACCAGCTCAGAACCAGATAATTTTTTATCATATCCTGATATGTGAACCCTTAGAATTAAGGGTCGGTGCCCGATACCATGACTGAATATAGAAGTCTGATTAGTTCGTGGTCTCAGTTGCCAGCTTTTTGTGTCGTGACAAGTTGTAATATTGATTTTCCCAAAGCACTTCCATTTACAGTAAAATAGATGATGAAACAGTGTATACTTTAGGTCAGGCCTACCTTGTGATTGGAAAGCTCTGACTGTTTGACACCTGGCTTCAAAACTCCAAGATGCCAACATTGGAAGCACTTAAAGACTTAACAGGACTCTACAAAATGACGCATGGCATCAAGGTGGCAACATATGTGCTGTTTTTATAGTCTATGAATGGGGCTTAGTTAATACCTAGCTTGTGAACGTGTTGGAAGTTTGAGCAGCAGAATTACTTTGTGTTTAGCAGACCATAAAAAGAAACCAACAGGGAGTGAATATGGACTCCAAATGACAGTGATGCTATTCAACATGTTACTTTTGTCGTGCTACATTGACACTAACATGATGTTATCTGGAAGATGTTAACTGAGGCTGCCATTAGTTTGTGTAATGAACATTGACAAATTGATCCATCTTTTGATGGGATCACACTAGCTGCAAAGTCCATCGTCAATTCAGTGTCTTATTTTAGCATGTTAGTGTCTCCAGTCTTAGTATATTGGCTACTGATAGTTGATTGATGCTATAAAAGGTCTAAAAAAGGAAGCCAACAAAGAAATTCCATTAACCTACATTATTTTAAATGGCCCACAGGGGAACACTCTGGTTTCCAAAGACTTCTGGTTATATTGAAGTCCAAGAGGCACCTTGCTCTATAATCTCAATAAATAATTTCATGTTGACTTTATGGATTAAATTACTAGTCATAGGTTGAAATCACTAGAACTTTAGGTTGATTTTGATTACAAGAGTCAGAAATGTGAATTATTAAGATTTGTGACTGAAGTCGTTAATCCTCAGTTTCACAGGAGTCACTGGTCACTCATCACATCAAGATTAAAAACACTAAGATGGTGATGGCAAAAACTCTCTCAGCTTGAGGCTTGTTATGGGAGTGGGTAATGTCTTGGACTTCGGGAGGAAACCAGAGTACTAGAAGAGAACCCACTCAAGCTCAGGGAGAGCATGTAGTCTCCACACACAAGGGCCCCAGCTGGCCGGTGGGTTTGAACCCTCTTGCTCTGAGGCGACAGCGCCAACCACAGCATGCCGCCCATATTTGAAATTTGTAAATAGTTTATTCAAAGCAGGGTAATGATGCAGGGATTCGAGTAATGTGATATGAAATGCTATTCTATAACAAGATGAGGGACATTTGAAGTCCTGCCGGAGGACTCCAACTGTCGCACCGTCACTGTAATGTTATTTGTGCGGGCCTCAGGCTACCACTGGCACTCCTGCTTACCTGGCACTGTCCAAGAAATGCCTGTGAATAAGAACGTTATTTCTCAAGTGAGGTTGTGATTATATCCAGAGAATTACATTGCGGACAGCGATACATCTCTTTCTGGAGGAGTTATCCACCTGAGCGTGACGTTAAGAGAAAGTTTCCTTTTACCCGAGCTCAGACTCCAGCAGCATTTTCAGGATCACAAAATAATCTCAAAATAACTCTGACAAAGTCATTTTAAGTAAACTGGAGTTTAACGACTTTAGATTCAAAGATTTAAACAATTTTTTGTGCCTAAACTAAGGTTACCATTTGGGATACTGTTAGATATCTACATTTGGTTATTTACTTAGTAAATGAAAGTAGTCTTTTAGTCCAGGCTTAGTCAGCTAAAACATAAATGCTTGTATACGTGTCTGAAACCCAGTTCCACAACACTGACTGCTGTCCTAGCTGTGCCTGTGTTTTGGAACAGGCTGGCTGAGAGGGTAATATGTAAAGCTGTCTGTACCTACATGTGTGCCAGTACTCTGGCTGACAGCCTGAGGCTGCATTTGCTGCTACCCACATGGAGGTTATCTGCACTGAGTTCATTGTTGCTCTGCACTAAGTCTCAGAGCATCTGCACCTCCCCGATGGTAGATTCACCATATGCCGTAGCTGTATTATTTTCAGTCGAACAGAATAAGTGTGAATTTGAACATAAAGTTTTAGAGTTTGGAAGGTCGTACACAGGACACAGATGCTGGGCTGTAACATGGCGATTTCCTAATTTTAAGCAGACCAAGTGGCAGGGATGAAAATACCAGTGCCGTGGTGCCCAGTTGGCTGCAGCATTTCCTGAGGGAAGACTGACCGCTCTAGAAAGATAGAGGGAACGACAGCCTATTAACTCGTAGAAACAAGAGAAAAACTAGTGCCTCACAGCCAAGTAGCATTTATATATAAACAAATAGTCTACATGAATGGGTATGAATCTGTATCAGTTGTATATGCAAATATATTCAGTTTCACAGGATTTAATCTTGCTTCAGTAGATTTCAAACTGATCAAAGTCAGTGCAAGACCGCACAGATGTGTTTGTACTCCATGATAGACGAGGCATCAAGCCATAGCCATTTCCTACGGGCTTTGGGTGGATAGCCTCACACTCGCTATTAACTGTAGTTTCCAGCACAGAAGAACATTTTCACCTGGTCTAACCTGAGAGGGAGGAACCCTGTATGTTGTGAGCTTCCATGTGCATGTGCGATTTTTCACTGTGATCAGTTGTGAATTAATAGCTGTAGTGGTCACTTACTGTCCCTGCATTCATATGCTACTTTCCCCCCTACATCCAAGAAAATGCATTAGCAGGAGAAACCAAGCTAATGATCAAACATCAGGTTTTCCTACTTGCTAATTAAATGCGGTCCATCCTAAAAATGACAACAGACTGATACATGCAAATAAGCTGACAGCAAGTCTCAAGTGTATGCAGGCAATTACTACCTATACTGGATCTGTGAAATGATATATAATATATGTATAAATTAAACATCTTCCAGCAGATTAACGCTCCCTCCAAAAACATGTTAAATTGACAATCATGTCGACTACACACAATGCATGTGACTAGTAGCGCCAACAACCTTTCCAAGCATCTGACAATTGTTTGTAGGCTCGGGCCAATCACAAGCAGCAAACGTGTAACATAGTAAGTACACAAAAATAATAGATCATCACTTGATAGGTCTGCTCCATTCTGTTGGATATAAATTGATATTGCTTTATAAATAAATGTACTTATTTACTTAAGCAAATATATTAGGCGCTTCGAGTAGGGATATTTAAAATACTGTTTTATTTACACATGTAAAAGAAACTTGTTATTACAAATAGAACATATTTGTATGTGAGCGAACAATTCGTTTCTCAACAAGAATCTCAAAATGCAGTGAATATCTGTCAGAGAAGGATGATTACTAAAATATTCACTCTCTAAAATTGCAATGGCTGAATGAATAACAAAACTACAATCCCCATCATCACTTGTCTGTTTCAGAATTTCAGTTTTAACACAAGATAAAATCATTTGTCCTTTTTTGCATTTTGTCACAGACACAAACATATCAGCCTCAGTATTAACACCCCAACATGAATTTAAGTCCAGGTTTGACTAGTTCATGTACACTGAACTGCTGCCATCTAGTGGCAGACATACAGAGTAATGCTTCTTTTCTTCTTTTTTTCAGGAGGGCTTAGTGGAAATGACAAACCTGGTATTAAAGACTCCTGCGATACTTGGATGCCAATAACCAGGAGAAGGCCATGGAAGGAGAAAACATGAACTCCACAGTAAATACCAGCACGATGGATATCCACCTGGTCACCCACAGTCTCTGGGAGGTGATCACCATTGCAACTGTCTCGGCTATAGTCAGCCTCATTACCATTGTGGGGAATGTTCTAGTAATGGTCTCCTTTAAAGTCAACAGCCAGCTGAAGACAGTGAACAATTACTACCTGCTGAGTCTGGCAGCTGCAGATCTCATCATAGGTGTTTTCTCCATGAATCTATACACCTCTTACATACTGATGGGTTACTGGGCCTTGGGAAACCTCGCCTGTGACTTGTGGTTGGCATTGGACTACGTAGCTAGCAATGCCTCAGTCATGAACCTGCTGGTGATCAGTTTTGACAGATATTTCTCCATCACCAGGCCTCTAACTTACAGGGCCAAACGGACTCCTAAACGAGCTGGGATCATGATAGGTTTAGCGTGGCTAGTGTCACTTGTTCTGTGGGCCCCGCCTATTCTCTGCTGGCAGTACTTTGTTGGAAAGAGGACTGTACCCGAGAGGCAATGCCAAATCCAGTTTTTCTCTGAGCCTGTAATTACTTTTGGGACAGCTATTGCAGCCTTTTACGTCCCTGTATCTGTCATGACAATCCTCTACTGCAGAATCTACAAGGAGACAGAAAAGAGGACCAAAGATCTTGCAGAGCTTCAAGGGATTAACTGTTCTACAGAGTCTGGGGTGGCTCAGCCTCAGAAAACCATCATCAGATCTTGTTTTAGCTGTAAACTAAGTTCAGCATCACAAGACAGGAACCAGGCCTCGTGGTCCTCCTCCACCAGGAGCAACGCGGTCAAATCAGCGGCCACCACCAGCGATGAGTGGTCCAAAGCTGGTCAGCTGACCACCTTTAACAGCTACGCCTCCTCTGAGGACGAGGACAGGCCAGTGTCTCCAGGAGGCTTCCAGACCTCTTTTGGGAACCAGGCTTGCAAAGCCACCAAGAGTGGAGTATGCAGCGAGAGCGAGCAGCTCAGCAGCTACGATGAAGAGAGTTTCTTTCAGACGCCACCCAAAAGCAACTCCCAGAAGAGCAGCAAGTGTGTGTCCTACAAGTTTAAACCAGTGACCAAGGAAAGTCACACGGAGCACCAAAGCAGAAACGGAGACACGAAAATCACGTCGCCAACATTCTCCTCGGCCGAGTCCATGAGCGTTCCGTCCACCTCCACCATGTCCAAGCCCATAGACACAACGCTGAAGAGCCAGATCACCAAGAGAAAAAGGATGGTGCTGATCAAGGAAAGAAAGGCAGCTCAAACTCTCAGCGCCATCCTGCTGGCCTTCATCTTAACATGGACTCCTTATAACATCATGGTGCTGATTTCTACCTTCTGCTCTCAATGCATCCCCGTCTCCCTCTGGCACCTGGGCTACTGGCTGTGCTACGTCAACAGCACCGTCAATCCCATGTGCTACGCCCTTTGCAACAAGACCTTCCAAAAGACCTTCCGCATGCTCTTACTCTGCCAGTGGAAAAAGAAAAGGATTGAAGAGAAACTATACTGGTATGGACAAAACCCTGTGGTCAGCTCTAAAATGACATGAAGAAGTTGTGAGACAGTGGCTGTAAATCACATGTTTGCACCAATAACTTTGGCTTTATGAACTTGTGCATACGTATTAGGTGATATCAAAAGATATCCAGAGCCTAGTACATCTTATAGTGCTGCTCATTAATCAGTAGGTTTGCTATAGTGTATGGTAATTGCTGCTGGAAGAATATTATATATTTTGTACACTGTATGTAGGGTCAAAAATATACAAAACAAACCAGTATTTTTCTCCAAGTTGAAGCACATTTACGCCATTGATTTACACAGCAGCACACTTTGATATATGGAGACCATCGTGAAGTTGCTCCAGTCTAAAAAGTCAAGCTGATGCACTCATACCCAAAATGTCACAAGACACACAGAGCTCTTTAATTCTTAAAGTATTGTGCTTGTACTGATGAGGTGTATTTCCAAATGGCTGTCGTTGTTTTTATTTAAAAGGGCTAATATGCTTCATCGTGATGTCGGACTCTTGCTCGTTAAGTCAAGACACTTACTTGATGTTCATGAAAGCCTTTTAATGTGTGCCACTGTAATTTGTCCAATGAATAAATGTGTAGAGAGTCAGCTTCATTGTTTTGTCATCACTTGCTATGATTTTCATGTCGTGCGAAATCCCAGTGCAAAATACGGTTATAGGAATCATGCGTAAAAGGCATTAATGGATCACTTGAGTTTACCGATTGGGAATAACTAACTTGTTAATAATATCAGTGTTTACATTGGAAGTTTTGTGGAGGATTTAACAGCTCACACTGTTTATGAATTCTCTTTATTACATTTTATTCTCAGGATATTTTCGTTTTCATTAAGCATTGAACTACAGTATGTTTTACTGTGGCTAAATCAATATCACTGTATTTCTGGCAAACTTGTAATGTACTGTGGAAAATATGTTGGTGCGCTGCTCCTTTGTGTACCCACTGAATGGAAGATGCCTTGCACAGGCTATTTTTTTTTTATTATCTGTCATAAGCTATAATGCCATGAAACACTTCTTGGTAACTGTGATAAACCAGGAGTCTGCACTTGCAATTTTCAGAAAGAAAAAAACAAAACTAAAAAACATGCTTTGCTTCAAGTATACTGACTTGGTGTGTGATGGAAACAAAGCTAGAGCTAAATCTGTACTGCGACTTTTTACTGTATTTCAAGTTTGTGATGCGTTTTTGTTTCTTTTCAGTATTTTGTGATCATGTCCATGCATTTTTGAATAAAATGTGGTCAATAGAAGGTCCAGTAGTCACTACAAGAAAATCCCTGATATCACCCATTGTTGTGTTTAATGACAAAAACTCAAATCTGGCACAAATCCTGGGAATGACGTCCTTATAGCTCATCCTTCTTGCAGTCTCCACTCTGAATCAGTTTCACTGTGTCAGAAGGTCTCACCATCATCCATGCATACTTGCACAGCCGCTCCTTGTTGCAGTCTTTTTGCCAGTAGATGACATTTCTGCGATTCAGATTGGCGCCGGCGCAGGCGTCGTACCACCAGCCTCCTCCCGGCACCCCTTGAAACTCCAGTTTGGCACAGTTCTGGAAGTAGTTATCATTGTCTCTGTCTTTAGTGGTGAATTTCTGGTTGTCATGGAGATAGTTCTCTGTATCCAGCGTCAGAGCGTCTACGGTCGTTCCCTCAAACAACCCCAGTCTCAGTCTATAAGCTGATGCTTCATCCTCCACCAGGAATGGATCATACTCTCCCATCTTTGTGACAGCATCTTGGTCCACAAGTTTTATTCCTAGTTTATAGCGTGCAGGCCCACGGGTAAGCTGATGAAGGTAGTCATTCCCAAGCCAATGATCTCCAGTGATAAAACCAAAGCCTTTCTTATATTCAGCCCAAGTGCAATCAAAATTCACACTGCTATTCACAGTAATGTGCTGCACCACGGTCCAGCCTCCCTCCTGCATGGCACAGTAGGCCACAATGGGGGAGTCCCCTGGTTGGATCAGGTACACTCCGTCTCTGGCCCGGCCTGAAGAGGCCATCAGCATTTCATAGCAGTCTCTGGGCAGCACTGTTGAGCAATTAAACATCAGTCATATCAATCAGGGCAATCAGAATTACTTATAGCTAAGAATTAGGCAGGTTTATCATATACATCACACATCGAGTCTATTACTCCATTACCAGCTTTTTTGATAATTACCACATATTTGTTTTGTCTTCATTTAGTACAAAAAGGTTTAACGTGTGAAAATGACAGTTATTTCACAAAGTTTATGTACTGATCCTCGACTCAGTGGAGTAGCTTTCTAAATTCTGTAATATTATCGTGATTGAAATGTGAAATTTAAATAACTTAAACAAATTACAAGCTGCTAGTAGGTGAGCTTTTCAGCTGCACATTCGTTTTGAAGTCTTCAAAAGGAGACGCAGAAGCTTTGTTTGCTTTTCCCAGTTTTTACACCAAGCTAACTAGCTTGCTAACATTAGCGTCTAGCTTAGAGAAACAGAACCGCCCCCCAACTGTTTTTCAAATTGCCAAACAACTTCTTTAAACCCAATCCATGCACAATTTGGTTATGTCTAATTTAAGGACCCCTCAGGTGTTCAGTGAATAGTTGCGGTCTGGTACAAACAATGCAGGTCAGGAATTGTAGTGATGTCTGAAAATTTGCTTACCTTGTATTACTTTCCACCCAAGGCATGATTAGATTTAAACACAAGTGCTAAAAGTCTATAAAAAATCCAGTACTTTATGAAAATGATCATTTTATTTATTTGAGGGACAAAATATCAGATCTTCTACTTTTGGAATCTGGTTTATTGTGCAGCTGTTGTGCAGCAATAAATAGCTTTAAATAAATTTACACATGGCCCAGATGGACTACAACATGTCCAAACCATCCTACTCCTTCAATTGTGCCTTGGAAAACATTTTTATGATGTCATGTTTCTTTTCTTCAAAGATAATCTTTCTAATATTACCAACAACCTTACGTGAACAGAAAGCTGTAGACAGGCAGAAATGTTGCTTTGAGAGAGCCGTGGCTTTCTGCTTGCAGCACTTGCAATGCACACTGCTCTTGTTCACTGTTCTCCTGATAATTTTCTTAAGAACATTGATATTAACCAATGTGAGAGAGGCCTTTACTTACAAATCACACTCTTGGAATAAAGTCTGCTGATCTGCTTTACATGGACAGGGTAACAATTCTGTCCAACATTTCTGAATGTGAAAGGACCGTCTGTCTGATCACATTCAAAAAATATGTTTCTGTACAAAATAATTTCTCAATGTTTCCCAGGTAAGCACAATAAAACATTGCTTTTCTAAAAGTTTTCTAATAGATTGCCTTTTAACAATGCACAAATAACCTCAGAGGACCTAATGCTTATCATCAGTGAGTCAATAAGCGATTTGGATCTAGAGGTTGGAATTAAACTCACATCCACAAGAGTAATCTTCACAGATAATCACAGATATGAATGTATTCAGCGTTTAAAAAAAATCAAATGATTTTCCAGACTAGTGTTTTGAAAATTCTCCCAAATCATGTTCAGCTTTTGTCCAAATCCACAACTGAAACAGACAGGAAAGAAAAGTCAAACAGGAAGTGAAAGCCTGCATAAATAAATACCTCTCATTCCACGGTTCAGGACCAATTTATGCTCATCTGGTGAAAGGAGATTTAGGTTTTCAGCTTGGAGATGCTCCATGTCAAGTCCAGTCACACTAAGCAGCAGCAAAACCACTGCTGGCGACAGGCATCTCAAATACTTCATCCTTTACTTTTTCTGTGATCAAACCAACAGCATTTTTTTAGTGATATGAGCTGATGTAACAAATACAAAACTCTATCCATCCATCTATTTTCCTCCGCGTATCCAGGCCGGGTCTCAGGGCAGCAGCCTAAGCAGACAACCCCAGACCTCCCTCTCCCCGGCCACCTCCTAATACAAAACTGTGCTGAAGAAATATAAAATCAAAGCGCTTACATTAAGTAGAGCCACCTGTGTCCTGAAACACAGTGTAGAAATGTGTTGTCTGTACCAGAACCGTCTCCCACTCTGTATTTGTCTCCTCTGATCGAATGACAAGCAGCAGAAACACAAACACAATGGCCGACAGCTGAGTTCGGATTGAGAGACTGAATTGCAGTGCCCGTGCCTAGCTAGAGTTGGACTTTATCCTCAGGTTCACCTTAAAATGATAGACACCAGTCCTCGACTTATCTGTGCAAAGTGAGATAAAACCCACATTTAAACACATATCTCTGCCTTACTTAAATCACTTCAACTGTGAATGAGGTTTAAAGTCCAGCTGAGACTGAACTCTAAAGGTTCAGCCTTTGCTCATTTCACTCCTCCTCCTATTGAGTGTTTTTGTGAGTTAATTGGAGTGTGAAAGCCCCTGATCTCAACTGGTGTTTGCCCTCTGCTTCAACACAAGCCTATTATCTTGATTTATATCTAACAAGCGTTGTGTTCTGCTACAGTACTTAACGTTGGTGATTCTGTAACCTCCTGTATCATTAGTAGTTTAGACCCTTGTTATTTGTTGGACACTGGGATATGTATGAGAAAAAAAAACTGCCCCATAGGACTTGTATATATCCAGAAGTATTAGAGTAGTACACAGAGTACGGTTTCATTTTTGAGTTAGCACGCTGCACAGAACTGAAGCATGTTCATTGCATTTTACACATAGAATTGATTAAATGACCTCTTTTTAAATTCTGATCTCTTTTATTTCTTTATGTCATGTAACATCCATCAGTCTTTCCTCCCCATGTGAATTCTGCTGATTGTTTTTGCCTTCAAATTTTACCCATTTCAGAAGCATAAACACTAAAGAGCCAGAAACATCTGGTTCTTTAGTGTTAGTTGACCTTTTTCAAAGAGTGTTGCTTGTAATCTGACAGTTTAGTTCAAGAGTAGGGGAGACCGGGGATAGTTGTAACGTGGGTCAGTTGTAACACTTCCAATTTCTCCAATCAGGGCTAAGTTTCAAATGATGTGACTCATCCTGTGCATGCCCAACTCAGTTGTGCTATCACATGTGAAAAATCAGCACATTTTGTCAAACACAAACAATTTAACACGAAAAAAAGTAATTTGTATGCCAAAAAGTAAGTTTTTCTACTTTATTTCAATGTTTAATAGCATTATCTGCTTTGCAGTTAAACTCATCAAACTTAAATTATGTTATTTGTATGTCTATGGGGATATATTCTGTGTAGGTCTTTAGTGCTAATGTTTTAGCCGTTGGCTGTAATGTTAGCTAGTTCATGGCTATAGGAGTCTGGGTCAGTTGTAACAATAATGCAGATGTTACCACACTATTACTTTAACTTATATTAAACAAGTTGGGGCAACGACATCAGCAGAGAGAGGTTCACTGGTCGCATTTGTATATGCGGTTAATGCCATTGGCAACACAATTCCTCCACTGTTTGTGTTCCCACACATACACATTCTCACACTGTGTCAGAGATGGACCAGTAGGAAGTACTGGTAGTGGAAATAAATCAGGATGGGTGCAAGAAACAGATTTCCTCATCTTTCTGAAGCAAACCACACCAAGGTAAGCCATGATAAAAAGTAATGGAATTGCGATGCTGGTGAACAACTACATTTTTTCAGCTTCATTGTTATGTTCAAAATTGGTGCAAGAGCTGTAGGTTATAATGTCCACTGAACCAATGAGGCCAAACGCAAGGAAGACCAACCAAAATTAATGAAATATTCAGTTGCAGAAAATTCCATAATTTGTCTTTTTTGGGGGGTTGGTATATGTTCAAAAGCTAGATTTCTGCATTCTGTCACACACACACACAGCTACATAAATGGCTCTAAGTGCATTCATGTGTTGAATAAACAAAGATTACATGTTAATGTTTTGTTAGTACTCTTATTTCATTGTGTTACATTTCACCCCAGGATATGTTACAACTAACCCAGACTATGGGGTTAATTGTAACATTTCACTCTTTGTGTTTGAGGCCATACCATGCAATGGGTAATTGTGCTGCAGAGAAAATAGCTGCACTATTTAATAGCAGAGACATGTAAATACTTTGCATTACATTTTGAATCCACTACCTTAAAAGAGCTCCAATTTACAGACAGAAATGTCAAAAATGTTACAACTATCCCCGGTCTCCCCTAGTTCAACTTAAGGTAAAGACAGTCATATACAGTTTTACGGAAGATGCAATTGTTGTTTTTGCAGCCATAAAACAGAAATATTAGTGGCATCCCTTTTTAGTGTTTTTGTAACATATCATTATAATATCAATCACAAATGACAAAAAAGTGTTAATCATTAATGAAGCAGTTAAAAGGACAAAAATCTTACAGTCATCACAATATCTGCGTTGTGAAAATAAGTGGATAATTATTTACAAAATACTACTTTGCTACTTAAGAGAGAAATTATCGGCCTTGTCACACCATTGCTGTTGTAGACATTGCTCAATTCTTTAGTTGCTTAAGCTGCTCTGCAAATACATCCAGCCCACACTAAGAGCCAGTCAGTGCAAACGTCAGCAGCTACTATGAATAACACTTTCAAAACTAAGGAGACTGTTCATGCGCCCTGAGGCGAATAAAATTGAATTGAACTGTTAACGGAGAACGATGCGTTCAGGATCTTCACTGCTGACATGTGAGTTTAGACAGGAAGGAATCGATGACCTAAGGGGCAAAAAGATGTACATAAAATGCAAAAACATAAACACACACATATATACACATATAACTAACAGTGTTAAATTCTGCATGTTTACCTTTGCCATGTCTCCTGCAGGTCCTGGAACAGACTTCAAAACGGGTTCCTGCTGCCACAATTCCCATAACTGCTGATTAAAAACTTGAAAGTTTCTGCAACAAAGGAATAAATCATACAACTCTGGCAAATTAATGTCAAAAGATTGTGCTTTTTTTTTTTTTAATTAAAAATAAATATATTAAACTTACTCATCCAGCAGAGAGTTTGTTGAGCCACTGAAGCCACTATCTTTTAGATCCTCCCACCAGTTTTTTAAAACTGAATTTACCCACTTTAGGCCAACAGTAAGATGCCTATAAAAGAAAATACAAAAAATAATTATCCTGCTGCTAAACACAATGTTATTGTACATGTGTAAAGTGTTTTATTCAGCAGGATTACTCACTCTTTATATGGACTGCTGAGGACTTTGCCAACTAAAGGAAAGAGGTCGACACAACAGCCGATGGTTATCTTTGAAGAATCCTCATCAATGCTGCAGGGAAAATATAAAAATTATTGTAGTAACACTATAATCTCAGTGTTACTAGGATATTTGCAAAACTCAGTGCTCACCATTTGCTTATGAGCGGGAGAAAGTCAACAAACACACCAGTATCTTGGATACTGTACAAAAAATATGATGTAATCAAACTTTGGAAATACTAGCAAACAAGCATTGGCGCATGTTTGAAAGCAGCCGCACGGCGCACACCTCAGAAAGTATGTCAGCAGCTCTCCAACATTTCTCTGCCACAACGTTAAAGCCACTTTGAGTCTTAGATTTCTTCCAAAAAGCACGTCAGTCAGCGTGTTGTGATCCCTCGTGAGCTGGAAAACATAGTCAGCTTTAAGTAGTTTCAGCTGCGTGTTTGCAAGAAAAGTAATTCATAAAACAATGCAAACGTCTTACTGACCTCAGTCAGTACACAGTAGTCAGCCTCTTCACAACCAGTTCTATCAGTTCCTTGGTTGTTATTGATATTATTGACATGAAATGGGAAATCCCAGGGGTCCATACTGAAAATATCCTGCTGTGTGCCCTGCAAGACTTTTGTTTCATTTTCCTTGTTTGGAGCATCACAAGTTCTCCCAGACCCAAGCTGCTTTCTTCGAGCCACAGTCAGATGATGAGTCTTCCTTTTACATGACACTACCCGCTTCACTCTGCCTGGGTTGTTCCCAGAGCGGCTAACCGGGTATCTGGATGGGGTAAAATTCCAAATATAGCTTTTAATCAAAAACAAATGGCTGTAAAAAAAATGCAAAACAGGCAGGAAATACCTCTTTTTGTTGCACTCTTCATTTGCAGCATCATCCGCCTGAATTTAAAAAGACAAAACATGGCGATGCACAAACACAGCTAGAGGCATAAAAAGCACCAGGAACCAGAAATAGATTGTGCAACATAATGACCAACCCAGCTCACCTGTTTTGTGTTTCTCCCTTTAGGATAGCTCACTTTGTACTGTGCTGCATCATGATGCAAGCGATCCTCAACATTTTGGCTCTCTGCATCTTCAGTGTTGGGGTCCATTATATCTAAAAGAAAGGATATATGAATGAGTTAACAAATTTATAAACACGACAAAATACATACATACCTCACTGAACCTTAGAGCCTTTGCCTGAAAATCATCTAAGATCAACTTAATGTATTATTTATATAATTTTTGCTCATTTCCTAACTTTTACCATTTTTGTAAGACAAGATAAAAACTTTTAAGGCGATTAAAAAAAATGCATATCACAGGATTTTAGAGCTTAACAGTGTATGAATCTTGTGTTTCTGGCCATAAATGGCTACACATTGTGGACAGTGTAAACATTATCTTGTCCCCACAACATACGGGCTACACATGTCCAAATACACCGTTTACCCACTGCAAACAAAGTAAGATAGTAAATAATACATTTTTCCCCAGTAAATCAATCATTAATTATTCATCTAATATTCTGTTTATAACGCGACACGCTGAAAAACAACATCTCCCACAATCCACTCGGCCATTGTTATCGTTCTGCACATGACGTGGTCAGGAAGCGCTCTCCAGCCAGAACAGCTGGTTGAGTTTAGCTTAGCTGTAACTTTTTATTTTTCTGAATATATGTAATTTATTCAGAACAGAAGTCGTTTGTGCTTTTGGAGACGATCATTCACTGCCTTTAGCTTAACTGTAAGTGTTGTACAGAGGCATGAATTTCTTTGTTTCCTATTGCACTTAATGCAAAGTATTAGCTTTGAATTATCGCTAACAAGTAATTAAGCCAGGTAGCTAACAGTCAGGTAGCTAACAGCTAACCAGACAAAAAGAAAGAAGCTTTTTAATTGTGTTCCAACCAGCGGTCGAGGAAATACATGTGAAAATAAATGCGTCACAGCATTTAAAGTGAAATAAATAAACAAACCTGTAAGCGTTCACAGTAAATATGATGTACTCACTTTGCGCTGCTTCTCCAAACAGAGATATGACAGTTAAACACTTTGATTCTTTTTACGCAACTAGCCGGCGGTACCGCCCATCATTGGAGAATAAAGCAGCCTATTCATCATTCAGCTGTTGGACTGTGCACCCTCTATCGGCTATTGACACAGTGTTGGTGCACGTTTCACAACCAAAACACACAGCTAAGAGAATCGTCAATGATCAGCCTAACTGACAATTAATGTAACTGATAGATCAGATCAGCTGGTATAGTAGATTTTGACTCAATTAAAAAGCACGATTTTGTCTTCATGGGCTGTGACACTGATAGTGTCTTTGTTCTGGTAAGTCCAGCATAGCAGCTGCTTGCCTTTGCATTTAATTGATCTGAGGCAAGCCATAGCATGTGAGCTTACCTCTTCTGTCTTTCACTGCAGGACTGCACAATGAAAAGCAACATCACATGCTTTTATTGTCACATCATCTATTTCTAAACTTGTTGCTGACTCTGCTGTTTTGGTTCTGCAGTTTCATGGGCTGAATGGAGGTTAACTGATTTGGACATACTCAACAGAGACCAAAACACAGTATGTGACTTTGTTTATCCTAACTACTCAGCATGTGTAAACCTCCCCTGAGGTCATGTCATTTACTGGAAGGCTTTAAATATCGTCAATATTTCCAAATGTTTTTATACTAGTGCCTTTAGAGTCATGTGATTTTTGTTATGAGAAGTCGGAGATCATGTGATTCAAGTGTGTGTGTGTGTGTGTGTGTGTGTGTGTGTGTGGGGCTTCTTTAATCAGACGTTTGTTCCCTGAGGTCCAGCATTAAAATGTCGCCTGTTCACGCTGCCTGTGCTTTGCTATTTGCTGCACCCCTGCTGGTGCTCAGTGTTCCTCCTATTTGGACCCAGCCAGAACAGGTGCACCTCTCCTATGGAGGTAAGTGTTTGACCTTTTCCACCTGACACATGTGGGATACAGTTTTTCCCCTTGGTCAAAGGAGCTTGCAAAGAAAAGCGTCTGGACTTCTTTAAGTTGCTTGAAGACGTTTCACCTCTCATCCGAGAAGCTTCTTCAGTTCTAAGGTCAAATGGTGGGACCCACACCCAGTTTCACACCTTGGCTCAGGCGATTAGAGGATCATCAGGGGTCCTTTTGTCCCTCTTTGGGGGGAAACTCCCACTAGGTTTAAATCTGGGACTCTCCACCATTTGACCTTAGAAGAAGCTTCTCGGATGAAACGTCTTCAAGCAACTTAAAGAAGTCCAGACGCTTTTCTTTGCAAGCTCCTTTGACTACGATGACCTGGATGACTGAGAACCTTCAC